GGCCCACTATATCATGTGTCTGAAATAAAATAGGGGTCTGTCTATCCATCACTACTGCCCTCCCTACATTTTATGCCAATTTAACTCTGTAAATCGGTTTATGGAGAGAGAGAGGGAGAGAGAAAGAGAGATGGACCAAGGTTATTCATTGAGATTTACAGAGAAAAATATAATATTTAACTAGGTTTAAGATGCATTATTTTAAAACAAGGGGAATTATTAAAAAATAATAGTTATTGTTTACAAGGCGTCAAGTAATTGTCTTCTTACTATTTTTAAGTCATTTAGCCCTTATGAAACCAATGACATGGGAAGGAGGAATCTTAAGGAATTAAGAATTGTAACAATGCAAGTGTGTCAGCAGACTCTATATTACTAAAAATCATGATACAATTCAATATTTAAGCTCTAGTAGGTGGTACAGCAGCAGAACACTATAACTCTGTAATGCATTCCCCATCCTTGAGGCAATCTAGCGTTGCTGACTGGTTTACTCTCCAGAGTTTGAGCCAGACCAAGGGTTGGGAACGATGGCCCCTTTTTGACTTGTGCTGGCTCAGGAATTCTGGGAGTTGAAATCCACAAGTCATAAAGGGGCCATCGTTCCCCACCTCTAATTTAGACAATGGATTCATAGTTGCATTTTTGCATTCCTGAATGTGTGTATGTGTACATACAGTTGTGCTCGTAAGTTTACATACCCTGGTAGAATTTATGATTTCTTGGCCATATTTCAGAGAATATGAATGATAACACAAAAACTTTTCTTTCACTCATGGTTAGTGGTTGCCTGAAGCCATTTATTATCAATCAACTGTGATTACTCTTTTTAAATCATAATGACAACAGAAACTACCCAAATGACCCTGATCAAAAGTTTATATACCCTGGTGATTTTGGCCTGATAATATGCACACAGGTTGGCACAAAGGGGTTTGAATGGCTATTAAAGGTAACCATCCTCACCTGTGATCTGTTTGCTTGTAATTAGCATGTGTATATAAAAGGTCAATGAGTTCCTGGACTCCTGATAGACCCTTGCATCTTTCATCCAGTGTGCACTGACGTTTCTGGCTTCTGAGTCATGGGAAAAGCAAAAGAATTGTCAAAGGATCTGCGGGAAAAGGTAGTTGAACTGTATAAAAAAGGAAAGGGATATAAAAAGATATCCAAGGAATTGAGAATGCCAATCAGCAATGTTCAAACACTAATCAAGAAGTGGAAAATGAGGGATTGTGTTGAAACCAAACCATGGTCAAGTAGCGTTCTCTTCGCTGATGATGTAAAGCTGTTCAATACCACAGACAATACTGCTACCCTACAAAAAGATCTTGACTATGTATCTGAATGGTCAAACAAATGGCAACTTCAAATCTCAACAAATAAATGCTCTGTCTTACATATTGGCAAAAAAAATCAGAAAATAAAATACAAGCTGAATAGTCAAGATCTTGTTGATGACCCAAGCTCTGTAAAGGACCTTGGAATACTCACCTCTAATGATCTAAGTGCTAGAGCCCACTGCAACTACATAGCCAAAAAGGCATTAAGAGTTGTTAACCTAATCCTACGTAGTTTTTTCTCTGGTAATATCACACTACTAACCAGAGCATACAAAACATTTGCTAGACCAATACTCGAATACAGTTCATCAGTCTGGAACCCTCATTACGTATCTGATATTAGCACAATTGAGAAAGTCCAGAAATATTTCACAAGAAGAGTTCTCCACTCTTCTACTCGTTGTAGAATACCTTATGCCATCAGACTTGAAATTCTAAAACTAGAAAACCTTGAATTACGCCGTCTTCGGTCTGACTTAAGCATGGTATATAAAATCATACATTGCAATGTCCTACCTGTCAATGAATACTTCAGCTTCAACCATAACAACACAAGAGCACACAATAGATACAAACTCAAAGTAAACCGCACCAAACTTGATTGCAGGAAATACGACTTCAGCAATAGAGTGGTCAATGTCTGGAATACTCTACCCGACTCTGTAGTCTCTTCCCCAAACCCCAAAAACTTTAACCTTAGACTGTCTACTATTGACCTCACCCCTTTCCTAAGAGGTCTGTAGGGGGCGTGCATAAGCGCACCATCGTGCCTACCGTCCCTGTCCTATTGTTTCTCTTATTCTTTTATTTTTCTTATATGTACCCATTTCATGTATTCACAACTATGTATACACTTATACTTATTATCTTGTAAACAATTGGCAAATCAAATAAATAAATAAATAAATAGACCAACTAAAATTTCAGCCACAAGTGCCAAGAAAATTGTTCGGGATGCAAAGAAAAACCCACAAATAACTTCAGGTGAAATACAGGACTTTCTGTAAACATGTGATGTGGCTGTTTCAAGATGCACAATAAGGAGGCACTGGAAGAAAGATGGGCTGCATGGTCGAGTCGCCAGAAGAAAGCCATTACTACGCAAATGCCACAAACTATCCCACTTACAATACGCCAAACAGCACAGAGACAAGTCTCAAACCTTCTGGCACAAAGTCATTTGGAATGATGAAACCAAAATTGAGCTTTTTGGCCACAACCATAAACACTACATTTGGAGAGGAGTGAGTATAAGGCCTATGATGAAAAGTACACCATTCCTACTGTGAAACATGGAGGTGGATCACTGATGTTTTGGGGATGTGTGAGCTACAAAGGCACAGGAAATTTGGTCAGAATTGATGGCAAGATGAATACAGTATGTTATCAAAAGATACTGGAGGAAAATTTGCATTCATCAGCCCGGAAGCTGCGCATGGGATGTACTTGGACATTCCAACATGACAATGATCCTAAACACAAGGCCAAGTTGACCTGTCATTGGCTACAACAGAATAAAGTGAAGGTTCTGGAGTGGCCACCTCAGTCTCCTGACCTCAACATCATTGAGCCACTCTGGGGAGATCTCAAACGTGCAGTTCATGCAAGACAGCCCAAGAATTTACAGGAGGCTTTTTGCCAGGAAGAATGGGCAGCTTTACCATCTGAGAAGATAAAGAGCCTCATCCACACATACCACAAAACACTTCAAGCTGTCATTGATGTTAAAGGGAGTAATACACCATATTAAGAACTGGGGTATGTAAACTTTTGATCAGGGTCATTTGGGTAGTTTCTGTTGTCATTATGATTTAAAAAGAGTAATCATAGTTGATTGATAATAAATGGCTTCAGGCAACCACTAACCATGAGTGAAAGAAAAGTGTTTGTGTTATCATTCATATTCTCTGAAAAATGGCCAAGAAATCATAAATTCTGCCAGGGTATGTAAACTTACAAGCACAACTGTATGTGTGTGTGAATACATAAAGATTCATTAAAAATGGTATCTTCATGTATGACAGTTCTTAAACATGAAGTGCGACAATCCATGGCTTATGCAACTTGGTAAATTTATATATCTGGAACCATTGCAAGTTAGCCCTGTTTTCTTCAAGGTCTCTATTATGATGATGAAGAACAGTTATTTCTCTTTCTTTTAATTTTCTTTTGATCTCTTTGAAAGTTGATTCTCTTGGCTGCACTTACATCACAAAAAAGAAGAAGATTGTGTGTCCCTTTATCATAATAATGAAGATACTGGCACGGCATTGTTCCTTGTTTGAATAATTGGCTCACAAATGATGTATGCTAATGGGTGAAAGAATAAAACCAATGACAGCGCCTGAACCAAAACCTTTAACCTACCAAGGTCTCTAAACTCAAGTTGGCCTCTGTATTAGCTTAGCTTGCCTAAACATTTAGACATAATTCATGGTAAAGAGCATGAATTAACAACTGAATTAAGTGAAAGAAAAACTGTTAAATTGTAAGGCTGTGAAGCTAAGAGAGAAAGGACGAGGATGTCATAAATTGCTATGGAGCAATGGAAATAATAGAGTAGATTGGAAATAAATGAATGGAAGTAAAATAATAGATTCATTTTACTTTTTAATCCTTAGTTATGATTGAAAGGGCTAAAATATGCATCAGAAAGTTTCATTTAGTGTTATAGGATGTTGTAGGTAGCAGCTTCTGCAGGGTAGAAAGGGGGCAGAGTGATACAAATGACATTGTAATACAAACCCTGCCTTTTTCCAGGGGTATCAAAAGGCAATACTGTTTTTACTATTATTTTACTATTTACTATTACTATTAGTTGCATCCTATGCATCATTGAATTGTAATAATGGAAGAACCAGGAGTAAATTTGGGGGGATGGGGGAAATAATGCAACATTCTGAAATAATAAGATCCAGAGGGAAAGAAGTTGTTTTAGATGGCATGATTGGGTGGGAGGGCAGAAGACAAGCTAGCAGAGGAAGTGACTGATTCTAAAGATCTCAAAATGAATAAAAAAAGGTGATTGGTGAGCATCTGGTTAGATAATGATGTAGAAGGAGCTCAACTCAGGAGAAATTTTCCTTTTTATTCCAAAAACGATAAAGTAAAAAATGAATCAAAAGTAATGTAAAATTAGCCTGTGTTCCTTTTTTAAAAAAACTGTTTTATAAGTTTTTGATCACACAAAAATAGCTAGAAGTGTGCCCAGAAGACATATTAATGATAGTAGATCAAAGTAGCAAATGGATGCAAGCTTCTTTTTTCATTTGTTCTTTTAAGCTGTTCTGATTTCCCAACTAAAAGACTGTCTAGTCACATTTCAGCCTCCCAGTACTGGCCTTAAATATAGATGTGGCTTGTATGAACTGACACCTAATTATTATGCCAACATCCATGCTATTCTTTGTCCATCTCTTTAGCAGAACCAACTCAGCCCAAGATACCATGGAAACTTGAAAAGAACATGAAAATGTCCTTATTCTCTTAATTATGAAAGGGATGAATTATCTCACCCCAGTACTCCCCCCTTAAAGGCACTACCTCAGCCTGCTAACTAGTATAAGGCAGGCCCTGTAGTTCACCTTCAGCCTTTCTCTAAGATCACAGTCAATTGAATGCAAGCTCTCATTTTATCTCTCTCTTTGCTTGTTGCAGGTACATTCAAGGGGCCTCATCTCCAAAAGACATGGTGATCATTGTGGATGTGTGAGTGTATCTTTCCCTACAATTTTCCACTTGTCGGGTTTTCAGACTATATCTCATTGTTTGAGCCCCAGTAAAATGCTGAAATTCTTGAAATGAATTTGGAGGCCCAGTGCGCAGGAAGGACTGTCTCCACAGCATAAGATCATCATGGAAAGGAAGTACTTGGTGCTTCGGATAGGAGGGCAATCTGACTGGAACAGCTCTCCTCACATTAGTCACCAGAGTGGATTTGGCTGAACTGACTGACAGAGGGTGACTCTTCCCTCCCTCACAGTCAATATATACCTCTCCCAAAGCTCTTCACTTTGTGAGCAGATAGGAGTGGGCCATTCTTTCATCAAGGCTAGAGCAGCCTAAAATTTGCTGTTTCCCTTACCAATCTGTACTCTATTTGTACTACTCAGGTGCATTCAAAGAGCATTGGGAATTTGGGAGGATTCTGGGTTTGTCCAAGTTTTTGTCTCTCATATCATCTTACACTACACAAAAACAAGGCAGGGTTACTTTAAATTTCTTCTTTGTTCTTTCTTCAGTCTTTGGACTGCATAATCCCTTGTCTAAGTCCCTCCTTAATGGCTCTTTCAAGGTCAGCTCTAAATTCCTTTGGGGAATTTAGTGAGCAGTGGGCTGCAGTCCTATGCAGCTGAGCTGGGATATATTGCTTCAAGATTTTGAAGGCACAGATATGTATGAAAGGAAGGTTAGATGCAATCAGCACATATGCTAAAACCCATTTTGCTGGAAAATCAATCCTATTTAATTTGGCATAACTTATTCCTAAGTAAACAGCAATAGGGTTGGAAAGCTTTTAAAGCCACAAGTCTATCCATATTGATTTGCTGATCCCAGGAATCTCCCCTTTTACCTTCTACCTGTTCCAACAAAAGTTTAATTCTCACAGCTATGACAGAAGTGCACTGCCTAGGACAAAGGTGGAAGAATCTTAACATTTGATCCTATGCTTATTTACTCAGAGGTCCCAAGTACATTTAGTGGCATGTGCTGCTGAATCAACTAGTTTTTAAACTACAGCCTACAGGTGAATTTAAAAAAAAAAAAAGCTTTGAATCTGGGATGGGTTTAAGTATAATGAAGAATAATCCACTGCTGTTGCTAAAACTATTGGGTATAGACAGAAGAATGTTTCTGTTTGAAAGGAACTAGCAAGGATACTGGTGAAACAGAGTCTGAAACCTGAGGGGAGGAATATGCCCACACCAAATTGAACTGGACCATAGTGCTGGGAGGCTGGTCCCAACACATAGTGGCTTGATAGTGTGATTGACAGAATGGGCATTGAAGTACATCAGAAGGTACTCGTGGTTAAGCTCCTACTTTGTTGCCTGCTGATGAGGAAAAGCATTTTGAAGTTAGAACAGCTAAGAGCAATCTTAAGCTATCTCAGATGTGGGTTAGTAGCAAGATGAAGGCTGCCTCATGAGGTCACAGCAGAAGAAATATGTTGCTGTGTCATGCTTCTGGAAGTGAGGAAAGGCTCTTAATGAAAGAGGTGCATAATGAGCTCTATCTTATCTTCTGTTACAGGAGTGGCAGCGTCAGTGGCCTGACACTGAAGCTGATGAAGACCTCAGTCTATGATATGTTGGACACCCTCTCAGATGATGACTACGTTAATGTTGCTTCTGTGAGTAGCCAGCCTGCAGTAGGAAATTAAGGAGCAATGACAGAGGCAGCTTTCCACCAACATGGCACCCACTAGATTGGGAAGTCTAATTAAAGATTTAATAAATGCTAATGTGCATTGTGGAATCTGTAATAGCCCATAGCGTCTTTAACACTAGATTTGTTATGAACCAATAAGTTGGCTATATTTGCTTTTATATCTTCGGTAATACTTTTATATCTTCAGTAATGCAATGCTGAGCAATGCCTCAGTCCAGATTTTTAAAAAACAGAATGCAGACCAAGAGTATGTGACTATTTGTGCTGTGCACACAAAGTAAGGAAGTAAGATTCAGAATCTACTATTTTCTTCATTGTAGTATCATTCATAGCAATAATTGATGGATAATTTATAATAATTATTAAATATAATTTATGTATAGATTCTCTTAATTACATTATAGATGTAGATACATGCATATACCTATAACTATAAAAAACACATATTCTTTCTTACATAAAGATACATACTCACATTTAGGAAAGAGAATAGATTGGATGACACTAAACTGAACTACAACTTATTGGTAACCAACGTGTTATAACTGTGTAGATATTTAGAATTCACAGCAGCATCCCTCTATTCTGACATAGGACAAATAGGTATGCCTACAGTCTACAGGTTCACAAGCTAACCATAAGGAACTATCAGGTGTATTGTAGCAATTCATACATGCTTAAAGATAGAGAAAAAGAAAGCTTGCAAGAAATCTTTGCTCTCTTAAGGATGTTGGAAAGCTTCACTTACCTGAATTTAAATAGACTGACAATTTTCACAATCCAGACTGTTAGACAGGTTTTTTGGTTAGATTTTGCACGTCTCTGGTTTCTCCAGCACATTTTTCCTACAACCTAGGCCATCCTCAACTAGAACATTTAACTGACAGAATGTCAAATACTGCAATAGTAATGAATATACAGTGATATACATTGGAATAACAATTGCACCACAAATGCTGTAAATACTTGAGAATCCATTGCCACTGTAGATTATTGCTTTTGTCAATTAATTTTCAGTCCTATTAGTTATACAGGTAGTCCATGAGTTACAACCACAACTGAGCCCAAAATTTATGTTGCTGTGAAACATTTGTTAAGTTTGTCCCATTTTACAACTTTTCTTGCCCCATTTGTTAAGTGAATCACTGCAGTTGTTAAATCAGTAACACAATTGTTAAGTGAATCTGATTTCCCCATTGACTTTACTTGTCAGAAGGTCGCAAAAGTTGAACACATGACTCTGGGACACAACAACCGTCATAAATGTGAATCAGTTGCCAAGCACCCAAATGCAAATCACATGACCATGGGGATGCTGCAACGGTCACAAGTGTGGAAAAATGGCCATAAGTCACCTTTTTCAGTGCAGTTGTAACTTCAAATGGTCGCTGAGTGAATTGTTGTAAGTCAAGGACTACCTGTAGTACAATTTTGGAGAAGATGATGGTTCATAATTCATACTGAAGTCTTTCTATTTGGTTCATATAAATTCAACTATATCAGCGGCAGGTGTGACAGTCCAGGGGACAGGAAAGTAAAGGTGAAAGAACGAACCACTCAGGAGCAAGATAAATATTTCTCTAGCAGCAAAAGAAATTAATGATCAAAGCTGTTATCCTGGATTTGATGTGGTGTTTTTATTGCCTGCTCTTGCACTTAGCAGCCTCTAGGACCATGATGGCAAACCTATGCCACGCGTGCCGGAAGTGGCACGCAGAGCCATCTCTCCTGGCAAGCCAGCTGTCACCTGTTGCTCTTCCAGGACAACTGGGCTTGGTGTGTGCATGCATGCTGGAAACTGGAAGAGCAGCTCTGCAGCGTGCATATGCTCTTCCGGTTGCTCTTCCAGTTTCTGGCACTTCCGATTTCTGGCACTACTCCACGCACACACTGCTCTAGGCGTTAAACCAGGGGTGGGATTCTATCAATTCGCACCTATTCGCTAGAACCAGTTGTTAACATACTAAGCAGTTTGGAGAACCGGTTGTTAGGAGAAATTACTGGCCTAATCCTGTAAGAGAGGCAGGAAGGAAGCATTCTGGTGTTGCTTACAGAAACTGCCTCTCCGTTAACCCTTATTACATTCTTGGCAGGACTAGACTTCCTGTCTCAGGAACTTCTCTGGAGTTTTTTTTCCTTCCTTTGCTGGTACTTTGCTTGTGGGGAGTAACCATTCAAAGTTACAATGGCACTGAAAAAAGTGACCTATGACCATTTTTCACACTTACGACTGTTGCAGCATCCTCACAGTCATGAGAGGCCAGGCGAGAAGATATGTGCCTCGATGTGAGTGATATTGAGTTGGCCACACCCAGCCAATAACATGACCACCAAGCCATGTCCACCCAGTCACATGACCACCAAGCCACACCCACCAACTAAGCCACACCCACAGAACTGGTTGTTAAAAAATTTGAATCCCACCCCTGAGTTAAACAATAGCTACTCTAGAAACAAGTTGCTGAAAGCATCTCAAAACCAAAATGCCACATCAGCCCTACAAAAAGAACCCATGCTCTATTTGTCTGATTTGTTTCCTTGTATAACAGGGGAGGGGAGAGGGAGATGCCCATCAGAGGCCTTGGCTTCTGCCTCTTGCAGCTCCTGCAGCCCAATTTACCATTTCTGTCACCTTTCCTTTTCCCACACTCCTGACTGTTCTTTGCCTTTGATCGATTGCAAATGACAAAACACACCTGCAAGCAATAAATTGCATCCTCCTTTTGCCATTTCCTCCGTGCCAGCTTTGACAAGCCGTTCTGTTTGCACAAGGTGGTTCTTTGTGGTGGGAGTTGTGGAGGGCGTGGGGAGTAAAGCCAGCAGGTGTGACAAGGATGAGGAAAAGGAAAGCTTTGACTGAGAGGATGATGTTCATGAAAGAAGCCAGGCTCTTTCCTGGACTTGGGTTGGATTAAGGTTAGTTTACAGGCAGGAACACGTTGTGGTTTGATGGATCACGAATGGAATTGGAGGCCTCAGCAAAGCTGAGCTCCTTTTAGAAGGCTCTTCCCAAGTTACTGCCTCCAGCTGGATGGATCCATGGAAAGGGACATCTAAGGATCATAGCCACTTGTTCAGCAGCCTCTTTCTACCTGTTACATCCCTGTCCCTAATCTAAAATAGAGAGTCCTTTTTATCTGTTATTCCCTAATCCTCTGGTAAATATAAAGCTTCTGGAACAGGAGAGGTGTTTCCCTCATCTCTGATATGGCTCGGAGGAAGTAAGGAAGAACCTAAAACTACTTAAATATTTCTGTGAATGACATTCAGCTCTCTAGTAAGCACACGGGGCTTTACGGGAGAGGAAGAGGGTTCAGCCATTCAAACTGAAAAGCCTTCCCTTTTTAAAAAAAAATTCAGCTCAGGGAAGAATAAAGCTCACCTCTCTTCGAAGTGCCCTATAGTTGTTTGAGAGAGGGCATTTTTTTTGGAGGGGGAAGTGCCTTGCTTCCCATCCCTCCTTATCTATTTCAATAAGGGCTGGCAGAACTGTAGGCTCTCCATCCCTTATTCAAGAATAGGCTTCATTCTCAGTAAACCTTCAGACATGATTTATCAAGTTCTGGTACTTCAGTGCAGACAAAAAATTAAGCCACCTCAGCAGAACAATCTGCTGTGTTATTTTACTATCACAGAGTATGTACTGTATGTATGTATACATAGATGCTTGCTCCAGAATTTAAATTCTAGACTCCCCCCCCCCCCCCATTCTTTCCAAGTTAATGGACCCTTCGCTGTTCTTTCCAAGGTCACAGCTGGAATGCGTTAGCATAATGCCACTAGCCTGAGAACCATTGGTCACTCTTATACCAGCTTTCTTCTGAAGATAGGAAGGAATGGTACAGTCAAGCTTCAAGAAATGCTCTCAGTAGAAAGGATGGGAAGTGACTGAGAGATGGAGAAAACAAATGTTGCTTGTAGAACAGTACAAGGAAATGAATGACTTGATGCCCTTTGCCCTTGCTGGCTGACAAGTACTTGACCTTCCTTATGCTAAACTGGTCCCAGTGACCAGCACATCTTCAGTGCTAAAAATCCCACTTTCTTAAGAATGGTTTTGTAGGCTCATGCCTGTTGAATATATGGGCATGATTTCTTTTTCTTTTTTTTTAATAAAAAATTTATTTGGGTTTTCACAAAACATAATACAAATAAAATTTCTTTTTTTGAGAATAGTATGGTCCCGGATTATCACTTCTCCATACAGACACAAATTCAATTTCATATTCATCTTTATGTTCTATTCCATATCTTATTGCTATTTTAACATTTTCTCAATAATTTTCCCTTCCCTTAGTTTTCTCAATCTTACTTTTAACTATCTCATTCCTTTCTAAATTCAATTATATATATATATCTTTTTCTAAGTTTCAATACCTTTCTAGTCATCATATTTCTACTTTTGTCTGTCCTGTTTCAATTTCATATTTTCTTTTTTCATTAAACAAAATTTTCCCCTGTAGTTACTAATTGGAGTATGACACCTTTGTATCTTTTAATTTGTATCCATTCAACTCTTATTTAAACTTCAATTTATGCCTTTACAATTATAACATTCAATATAACACATAACTTCCAGTCGAATTCTGCTTGGTACATTCTTAAAATACGCACTAAGTTCTCAAAGAGAAAATATATTAATAAATAAAATACTTATTCTATTCCAATTCAGCTCTATCATTAATGTTAGTTATAATCTTTGACATCTTTAACATTCCTTTTCAATAGGATATCATACTTCTAGGGACACTTATAATATTTCCATGGTTTTTTCATGTTTCTTTCATATTCCTCTTCATTTAAATTTTTATAACACATTTATAATAATTAAAATGTTCCCCTCCTTTCCTAATTTCATTCTCTCATTCTCTTTATTTCATTTATTTATTAAACATTCCATTACATTACAATGAGTATTTTATCTATCATTTTAATCACACTTGTTTCATATTTTCAAAGTTCATTTCTATTTCTAATATAACAATACTATCTTATGTACCCTTGCAAAATCCCCCTTTCAATTAAGTTTTCACCCATTATCTCTGTGTCTTGTACGTTTTCCCTGTTTCTCTATGTCCTGATTCTGTCCTTTATAATTTCTTTTCCTTTCTTCTCCCTCTTCTTCTCCCTTCCCTTTTTGACCCCTTCTCTCTCTAATTCTGATTCTCTCTTCTGTAATCCTCTCTTCTATTTCTTCCTAATGTTATAATTACTTTTCAAACTATTCTTTTTTGGGGTTGTTTTTTCAGATCTTAAATTTTTCACTCTCTTTCCCCCCTTCCCTTTCTTTTCCCCACATAGAAATACTTGGTCATTGAAAATGGCTTCTTCTTTGTCCCGATGGGCATGATTTCTATAACATGCATCATATACATGCACTGACACTAATGTTTGTTTATTGTTCTGCCCTTTAGCATTTTTCTGCCTCTCAAGCCTTAAAGGGACAGATCCTATTACAGGATGTACAGGATGTATACATGTGAAGTGAAGTGAAGCTGGCAGTGTGTTCTTGGCACTGTAGGAACAATCTTTCATGTGCCTCCCCCCCCCCCCAAAAAAAAACCCCACTAAAATATCAGTGGAACTTTGCTATTTATATCTACTGGGCCTGATGCATTGCTTTAAATCAAGTTTACTTCTCTTTAAATAGTTTCCATAACAACACTCTTTGTCACAAAAGTAAAACCTCTAAACAATTTAGGAGTATAATCTGTACCTTCTTGATAGCAGGTAACATAGTTATTGACAGCATTATGCATTGCCTATAAATCAAATGGGTAACTGAGAAGTCGAACAGATATTTTGGACTATAACTATGTTGACTAGAAATCCTAAATATATACTAGTAGATGACATCAGAGTTCCTAAAATCCCCTATATAATATTTTCTTCTAGATCGACTTTTAGGATGAGGTGAACTTATTCAATATGTTTCTACATTTCAGTTTCAGTTCCAATTGCAATAATTTATACATTTATTAAGTTCAGAGGACAGACTAAGATTTTTAATTTATTTTAATTTTAAATTATTAAACGGTGCCTGGTTACAGCACCAGACTAGAGGCCAGGCAACTGTGAGTTATAGTTCTGCTTCAGGGATGAAAGCTGGCTGGGTGACTTTGGCTTAGTTGGTCTCTCTTAGCAAAGCTCGTTTTACACGGTTGTGTTGTGGAGAAAATAGGAGAGAGAAAGAGCAGTACTAAGTATTTGTCACTTTGAGTTATAAAACAGTAATATGGAATAAAAATAGCTACATAATCTTGAACCCTGACACTTCATCAAGAAATGAATAGACCTTGGCTTGAGAAGAGCAAACGTATGACATCCCCACCTAACTGGAAGGCACTAGGTTGAAAATTGTCAGTGGTGCCATGGTTTTAAAATTAGTTCATCCAGATCCAGATTTCTGCTGAACTAGTATTCTGTTGAACTAATATAACTAATGTTTATTTAGTATCCTATGACTATTGCTAAGTGTTGTATCTTATGATTTATGATGAATGTATTTTTAGAATGACTATGATCATGATTTATCACTTATTTGTATATACACTGAGAGCTTATGCACCGGAGACAAATTCCTTGTGTGTCCAATCACACTTGGCCAATAAAGAACTCCTATTCTATAAGACCGTCCAAGAGGCAAGTCTGAACCGTAATTAGCCTGCCAAATTTTCCATCTGCCATGAGTTGCCAGTTTATTATTGTCCTGCCTTTTTTTTTCAACAGCTGGCAAACTTACACATAAGAGAATGTCTTTTTCCTGGCAGTGCCAGAAGAGGCATCATTTCTGAATTGCTCTTAGTTGTTAATGGGTGTCCCCTGAAGGTCTTCTTAATATTGGTGTCTCTACTGCTGTTCAGCTGCATCCCCTCTGAAAAACTAGAATTTTCCAAGATAGATTTTCAGACAGGATGAATCCCCAACTGTCATAATCCTAGCCACATCAGGAACAAATAGCACGTGTACTGTTCTTACTCCAAAGCCTGATCCTGAGAGTAAAAGACTGAGAGAAAGCTTGAGGAATTGCCTTCTAAGTACTTTTCAGTTTTGTACTACAAATTAATGTTTAATTTGACTTAAATTAAACTTGTTCTTCTCCCCTTCAATAAAGTAAAGTTGTTCTTTTTATAAGTCAAAATCAAGGCATACCATGGAAGAAAGTAAAAACTCCATCATTCTCTGTAACCCTATCATGTGCCTGTTGACTAGCTGAAACATGGCTGGCCTAATTAACAAGTCTAGCCTTGTTACTTTTGCTGGATCACTGCCTTCTAAATTAATGTTCTGTATTTCCAGCAAACTAAGCCATAAGCAAAAATGAGTGGTTTTTTTTTTCAGTTCACCTGCTGGCCAAACTATCCAAGAGAAACCTGCTCTCTCCCAACAATTGTTTATCATAGAGTACCCACTTCACTGAGCCTGTGACCTTGTGATAAGGCATTAAAATGTCCTGCAAAAAAACGTGTTTGGCCAATCCCAGTTATGCTGTCCACAAGTTCATTCAATTCTCAATCGCTCTTAACAGGGAGGAAGATTTTTGTTGTTCCTTAATGTCAGTCTATTCCTACAGAAACCTGACTAAAGAATGTGGTGCCATCAGTAAGAGGGCTGTAACCCCTGGGCAGAGGGGAGGAGAAGCCATTTTTATTTCAGTCAGTCCTTTCTGCACTTCTTTAACACAACCTTATCCAAATTGTCTTTCCTTATGTGATTGGAGTTACAATCTGCAATTCTTCCTTTCACAAGAGGGTGGGAGGACCATAAAATATCTTCCCCAGTGGGCATATCTGCTGTGCCCCTGTTGTGCATTGTAATTGGCATACTTTCTCCTAGAGAACCCTGTGAATTTGCAGGCTGCAGTAGTAATTGGAAATATCAGTTTGAGGTTGTTTTGTTCCTTCCCATTAAAAAAATAACTACAATTCCCATGATCCCTAGATTACAGCCAGTTGAAATCTTAGCATTTATGTGCCCACTCGTGCAAAAAAAAAAATACAATAGATCTTGACTGCTGTTTGATCTATTTCAAAGATACACTCACTACCAGTTGAGACCAATATCATGCAATTGATCATCATTTCCAAGTGTAGTGAGGAAACAAGCTGCATCTTTGCTGCTGCTTCTCTTGCTCTCGCGTAAGCACATCCTTTATAGATGAATCTTGATCAGCACAGCTGCGGAAACTATTGGAAGGGTTCCAATATTTTGAACTAGGATATAATCATATTTTAAAGGAAAGTGGGTCTCTGAAAGTAGTAGTAATTTTCTTCTGACCTTTCTTGACTCTCCAATTGATTGTCTCAGCTGACTTGAGTATGTTATCATGGCTCGGTATTACTCAAAACATTTATGGCTCTGTTATTCACTAAAACCAGCGGTGGAAGCTGATCAGATTCCCAGCTTTTGCATAGTGTCCTTAACTAGTCTAATGGATTATAATTTTCTGTCTTTCAGTTTAACCAAAAGGCACAACCTGTGTCCTGCTTCAAACATTTGGTCCAAGCTAATATCCGCAACAAGAAGGTCTTCAAAGAGGACGTAGAAGGAATGGAGGCCCAAGGAACCACTGATTATAAGGCTGGCTTTGAATATGCCTTTGAGCAATTGCAAAATGTAAGTCCAGGTTTTAAACTTGGGAGGGTGGAAGGCTAAGCATTCAAATACCAGATTTCAAATAAGATGGAGACAAGAAAATATGGAGCTGGAGAAGTAAGGGTCAAATTTGATAGAAAGGCATATGAAGAATTTTTAATGTCCTATTTGCTGAAAGCACCAAAGTGCAGGATCCTCCCAATCTATCTCCAGCAACTGCTATCAAGGGGGAAAACAATAAAAAAAAATCTCTATATTTATAATTTTAGCTTAACCTTGACAAGTCTAAGCATCCAGGAAGGATTCCTGGAATGTCATGTTTGTGTCTCAGATTCTCATAATATCATTACTGTGTTAAAACGTAGAAGTGATTATCCTAAGCAGCTTCTCTGTTGGTTCAGTTTTCCTTGATGAGGCACTAAATAAATATATATTGGACAGCAATCTGAGAAAATTGAACTCTTAGCTAGCCAAAATGATTCACTGGTGGACTTGGTTTGTTGCTGTAATAAAATGAGGAAAGAAACCATGCATGCAGCTTTGGAACAAGAGAATAGAAATGGAATAATACTCTGAGGCCACAGGAAAGAAAGAAATCCATTGTGTTTTATGATTTCTTCCTTCAGCCTGGGGAACTGCAGCAAGTTATAGCACTCAGTGTGGCCCCTTCTCTCCACACAGTCAAATACTGTATTTGATGGCAGCCACAATTCACTGCCCTTGTTTTGTTTCCCTAGGTAGATGCAACCTTCTAGTTTGCCAATTGCAGCTTTGCTCTTGAGATTTACTGCAGCTTTCATTACCATGAGAACCCAGCATAGCACAACATTCCACAAACATGGTCTCCCTTCGCTATATTCTGTTCTGTTACCTTAGCATACAGATAAACAGTACAGCAGTCTTTGATAAAAAAAATATTAAAGGACTGTGAAGGATTGTGGAACCTGTCATTTAAAGCCACAATGATTTCCCCTTTTAGCTGCAAGTTCCAGGATGCCTGCATTATAGCAATCTTTTCAGAACAGAGACAGCTTATTGTATTTTAAATATTCTGCACACAATAAAAAAAAATGCCATTTGTAAGCACAGTACATTGTGAGCACTTTATATATTCGTACTTCTCTGCTTGTCCCATATATAGATCATCTCTCTCTCCCAAAGTACTGAAGATAAAATACAAGATTCTTTTTCATACCTATCAACCAGGGGTGGTATTCAACCGGTGTTACTACCGGTTCGGTGATTACGTTTTGCGCTGTGCGCATATGTAAAAAACCTTAAGCTGTGCCGCCCGGACAGCTGAGAAGCGCTGCGTGCAGGTGCGCAATGTTTGAAAAGCTTCCTTTTTCCTGCTTTTTCAACCTCAGCTGTGCCGCACAAAGCAGCTGAGGTTGAAAAAGCAGGAAATAAAGGACAGATAAGAGCCCCGGCGGGTGGGTGGGCCAAACTGCAGCAAACACAGAACCAGTTTGGTGTCTGCTGCTCTTCAGAGCTACCGGTTCTATAAAACTGGGCAGAACCAGTAGCATCCCACCCCTGCTATCAACCATATTAGGGAGGGGTTTTTTTTACACCTAGAAACTCTGTGAGACAGGTTGGACCAAGATAATGACTGACACAGAGTCAGTAAACCTGTTTCTTGATTAAGAGGGATTATTCTGACCATAATACAAGTAGCCCTCAATTAACAAACATTGAAGTTAAGAACCTCCCCATCCCACCCCAAAAAAGTGGTACTAATGACCCAGTTCTGGAATTCTGATGGCCCACGGTCATTTTTGGGTGCTTGGCAACTTGCTCATATTTATAGGTACTTGCAGCATTCCATAGTCATGTGACCACAATTTTCAGCCATTTTCTGGGGTGGGGGCAATTTCCACAGTTTACTTCTCGTTTCTGGCAAAAAATGGTCATTTGGTATAACAGATTTGTTTCACAACCATCACATTCACTTAACAACTGCTGTAGAAAAGGTCATAAAAACTGGTGTGACAGATAACAGATAATCAGAGTTGGAAGGGACCTTGTAGGTCATCTAGTCCAACCCCCCACCCAAGTGGGAGATCCTGCACCATTTCTGACAAATGGCAGTCCAATCTCTTCTTGAAGGTCTCAAGTGATGGCGCTCCCACAATTTCTGAGGACAAGCTGTTCCATTGGTTGATTGTTCTCACTGTCAGAAAGTTTCTCCTTATTTCCAGGTTAAATCTCTCCTTGTTCAGTTTCCATCCATTATTCCTTGTCTGGCCTACAGGCGCTTTAGAAAATAGCTTGACCCCTTCTTCCTCTCTGTGGCAGACCCTCAAATATTGGAAGACTGCTATCATGTCTCCCCTGGTCCTTCTCTTTACTAGACGAGTCAAGCCCAGTTCCTGCAACCGTTCATTGTATGTTTTAGCCTCCAGTCCCCTAATCATCCTGGTTGCTCTTCTCTGTACTTTTTTTAGAGTCTCAACATCTTTTTTATAATGTGGTGAACAAAACTAGATGCAGTACTCTAGGTGTGGTCTTTCTAAGGCTTTATAGGGTGGTATTAGTACTTGATCTCGATTGTATCCCTCTGTTAATTTAACTTAGGATTGCATTAGCTTTTTGGGCTGCTGCTGCATACTGTTGGCTCCAAGATCCCTCTCACAGTTACTACTATTGAGCCTGGTTTCACCCAGTCTATATGTGTACTTTTGGGTTTTCTTGCCTAAGTGTAGGACTTTACTTTTCTCTACATTGTATTTCATTTTGTTAGATATGGCCCGGTGTTCTAGTCTGTCAAGATCCATCTGGATCTTGGGCCTATCTTCTTGGGTGTTAGCTATTCCTGTCAGCTTAGTATCATATGCAAATTTGGTAAGTTCCCCTTCCATTCCCTCATCTAAGTCGTGTGGTCACATGTTAACCTGTTTAATGACTACCATGACATGACTGTAATTCTGAACTCAATTATAATTGTAAATTGAGAATTACCTGTACCACAAGCAACAATGCAAGCAGGCAGTGCTTAAACACTAGTATTTATATCATGCCACCAACAAGTTCATTAGCCATGTCTGAATTGTATCTCCTTCATTATTCTTTTTCCTGATCATGTGAGGGGCTGAAACCAAGGATAAAAGTTCTAGTGCTGGGTACTTTCCCCTAGATGAACGAAAACTCCAGCAGCTGGTACTGAAATTTCATTGGAAACAGTTGCCTCTTCCATTTCATTATAAAGTTAGCAGGAGCCATCTGAGAAGACTTGGATCAGAAGGGCTATAATGACATTGGACAAAATAAAGATGAATAGCTCTATTAAATGCTGAGCGGTAATAGCCACAACATAATTTCTGTCCTGACAGCAACTCCTTCTCCCTTGCTCATCTGTGCCACCTTCATCCCTGGAGAATAGTTAAAGAAAACAGATGTCTCTCTGCCAGTGTCTTAAGAGGACAGCAACCAGGATAGGAACCGATAGCTTTGACATCTATTGTCTTCTGCTCTTTCCCATTACAAATATCCCATTGTTGACCTCTATAAGGAAGTTGACCTCCTTGGGACACATAAGTACACATATAAATAAATATATATCCTTTTACTGCTTCCCCTAAGATTGCAACCATATATTTCCTTTCACTGGCTTATCCAGAAGTCTGAAAAATACACCTCAATTGAATAGAGTGCTATATAGGGAAAATATATGTTCTAATGAATGTATGTCTGTATTTCTGAACTCAGCAACCTGTTTGTGCATGTTTGTTCTTCTCTTTAGATAGGAAAAGTATTAGTCTAAAGTCTTAAGTAAAATGTATGGGGTTTGAAATTTATACAAATGTGCACAGTTCAAATTCTATACTGAAATCTGCAGGTTTTTTTTTTAAAAATGTAATGATGTTTATAACTGAAAGTGTATATGGGAATATGCGTATTTAAGAAAAATATGCAAAGAAAACTTTATTAGGAAGAAACATACACAAAACCACATTCAGTTACAGAAAAAAATTGCTTGAAGAAGCCATACTGTATACATAAAATGCCGGTTTCCCACCAACAATTTATTTTAATCAAGTGCCCTTACAAATACATCTATGTACTGTATATTAGGTTGTCTCTCTCCCAGAAAAAAAACAATGTACTTGGCTCTGTGTCCTATACTTGCTGAAATGTCTGCTTCTTATTTATAGTCCAATATCACAAGAGCCAATTGCAATAAGATGATCATGATGTTTACTGATGGAGGAGAAGACAGAGTGCAAGATGTTTTTGAGAAGTATAATGGACCCAACAAGACGGTGAGTATTCAGCCTGCATCTGAACTTGCCCTTGCGACATGACTATATTATGTCCCCAGGTGGGTATCCAATATTACTACAGCCACTTGTATGTCTCTTCAAGATTCACAATCAGATTGGAGAGTAGTATATTGAGATGATCTATTTCTCAAAGGAGTCCTAAAGGGAAGGCCTCCTGGGATTCCTCCAGGAATACCAAAATATCAGCATCTAATCCTTTCCCCTTCCACAATCCACATCCAAATCACAGTGTAGTTGCAGCTGTATCCTCTCTGGTAATGCCATTGCCACGCTACTAATTCTATTCTCAGAGACCAGAAATTGTGTACTGGATCTTCAAATTGTTGCCAGCTCCAGCACTGTGTTTCAGATATGTGAGCTTTTGAAATCAAGAATCTAAATAATGAATAATAGACAGAATGCAACAGAAAGTCAGCTTGTATAGGCATACAAGCACTTTATATAGACATACACGTGCATTCTTTCTTCACTAAATATATAAAAATGCTATTTATATATTTACTAGAAAATGCTAAATCAGCTTATTAGACAGAAAAAGACTTCATGTTGCTGCATTTATTAGCTTTCAGTCAGTAAAAAAGGAATCTCTTCCACATAGCCTCTAAGTCAAAATAGACAGTTAAAGTTCTTAACCATCTGATCGCCTGAATTTTTTAAAGAAAAGTTCAGGATTTCACCTGTGCTTTAACAGAGCTGATTGGGGAAGTCTCCACAAGGGACATAATGAATCAGGATTGGTTTTACTCTTCTACCATAAAAATCACATTTAGTTACATTTCAGATTCAACAAACATGATTAAGCTCGTAAATTCAGTTCTGCCTGGGGGCCAAAACAAGGAATTCAGTAAAATCTACAGATTTTTTTTTTCTTCCAGGAAATTCTATCCAAACGAGAGGGTATGCAAAATAAAAATAATAATAAAGACCAAATAAAGGATAGAAAGACATGTGCCAAAGCAAAATATTACATGGCCAGTATGTTTAAAAAATTTCAGGCAAAGCATAGAATGAGACCTGGCAAAGAGGAAAACCAGGAAAGTTAAAGAAAGAGACAGAGGGGCTAATTCTGGCTGCACAAGATCAAGCCTTAAGAACAAATGCATACAACGCCAGAACTGGGAAGACAGCAACAGGCAGCAAATGCTGTCTCTGCAAAGAAGCTGAAGAAACAGTGAACCACCTAGTTAGCTGCTGCAAGAAGCTCACACAGACTGCCTACAGACAACGGCATGACAAAGTAGCAACAATGGTCCATTGGAAGATCTGCAAGCCAGATCTGCATTTGTCTGCAAGCCAGAACTGAAGTGGTGGGACCACGAGATAGAAAAAGTAATAGAAAATGAAGAAGCTAAAGTGCTTCTGGGCCTTTAGAGTTCAAACAGACAGCATCTGCCTCATAAAACCCCAGACTTAATAAATGTCAATAAGACAGGCAAAAAAAGTCAGGAAAGCAGACGTGGCAGCAGTAGAGAAGAGAAAGAACAGGAGAAAAATCACAAAATACAAAGATCTGCTAACAGAAATAGAATGTGACAAAAGAAAGCAAAGATAGTGTCAATAGTAATAGGCCCCTTGGGTGCAATCCCAAACATCTGGAGCATCACTTGAACACATCAGCATTGACAAAATCACAATCAATTATTGCAAAATGCAGATTTACTTGGGATAGCTTACATCCTGTGATAATACCATTAACACCATCTAACACCAACAACTCCCTATCTCAAGTCCTTGGGAGGGACTTAATAAACCAGTAAAAATGCCAAATCCAATTTAAGCCTCTGGCTGATCATGTGAGCAGCCATAATCCAACAACAATTTGTGAACACCTTCCTCTCTTCATTCCCTGCCATTATTTGTCTTGTTCTAAATGTTCATCCTTTGACTTGGGTGGGTCCATTTTACAACAAAGAAAATGACTCTGCAGTGGCTAAGTTAAACACTCTTCTTCTGAATGCCCCATATGCACGTTTGATTTTTTTCTGTGAAGAAAATACAGGTGTAGTCATAAATTGTGCTGTTTTGTTCGACTGCCGATACATCTTTCTCAGTGAGGATTTCTGTGTGAATCAGTAACAATGCCAATATAATCAGATCCTTGAATATAGGATATATTCCTATAGAAATGGCAAATAATTGAAGGCCCAGCTGTCTGACTTGCTTCGATTTAGTTATGGGAACGGACAGCAGCAGCTAACTCAGGTTTTATCTGCCTCATTTGATGCCAGCTATTTAGACAGTTGATCTTCCTGCCTGTCTGCTCCTGCACTGAGCCACTGCCCCTTTAATGGGGTGTCTAACATACCGGCACTGGTTTTATTGCTTGCACTGACCTTGAAGTGCCAGAAGGAAATGTGGACAGAACTTCCTTTGAAAATTTGTAGAGGCTGTTTCTCCAAGACAAAGAATACATTTTGTTCGCATGTCAGATTTTTCAGATATCCCATCAAAGTCAACTGTGTGATAAAATGTCAGCCTGTTAATGGAAGTTCAAATTAAATGGCTTAGACTCAAAGTCGCATAACTTTTTTACTCTTCATGTTCACATTCTTTTTCCCTTTTCATACAAAGAAATAAAGGAGAGGGTTATGTCTCCTTTGCATTTTTTTGGAGAGGATACCATGAGCAATAGAAAACTTGTAGGTATCCACAGTCCCCAGTCACTTCTGTGCCAGGAGAGAGAGAGAAAGAAAAAGGAAGAGAAAGAGAAAGAGAGAGAGAGAGAAAGGAAGGAAGGAAGGAAGGAAAGAAAGAAAGAAAGAAAGAAAGAAAGAAAGAAAGAAAGAAAGAAAGAAAGAGAAAGAAAGAGAGAGAGAGAGAGAAAGAAAGAAAGAAAGAAAGAAAGAAAGAAAGAAAGAAAGAAAGA